TCTTTTTGGGGGTTCATTACTAACGGCTTGACACTTCTCTCATGCTTAAAATAAACACTTGGTTTGATGATTCTTTCCATTATAGGACTTAAACTCACTCTTGGACTTAATTGATTAAAGAATTGTAAGGTAACTAAAATGGAGTAATAAAATTAGTGACTAAAAAAAGGCAAGATAATAATTTGGTTTGGGGTCAATCGGACGTTAATTGAACCCTTGAGTCTTGGGTCATTTCATACTCATAAGTGATGCAAACGGCTCAAGATTTATTGTCAACTACTTCCCTTGATCATTCTTGATAGAGAGGTGGTTTTTAGAGTCTTATTTGTTGCATTCATTGAACTTGCACATTTTTTGGTTCATAAGCCATCATGCAATAAAATTGCATCCATTGATGGTTTGTGAATCAAATTTTGCCACTCTTTTGAGCTGTTTAAATGATAAGGAAAGGTAAGTTGTGCAAGTAAACCCTTAAGAATACCCTATTCTTACTCTGTTTGCTCTTTGTTGCAGTAGAAAAATCCAGTCATCAGTGGCCGGCAGGCCACCATCTGTGGACGGCAAGCCATCACTTCTAGCCTGCTGGCCACCTGTGCAAAATCCAGTAGTGTACTTTTGAAGCAGAACAGAATTGGTCTTGAGGTGGAAATCAGTACAAGTGTTCTGTTGTGCAACAGAGGCATCTAGCAGCAGAAATAATGGTTTTTTCAGGTGGAAAGTCTGCACATGCATGAGCATTACTTGTTTCCCGAGGAGGAGTAATTAGAGTAGTTAATTTAGTTACTTCATGTTGTAATTGATTAGTTAGCTAAACTAGTTACTTAATTTTGTCTTGTAATAATTAATTAATTAGCTAGAATAGTTTATTAGTTTAATTTTGTTGTTGTAATAATTAGTTAAGTAGTTTAGCTAAATTATTTATTTGGATTTGTAATAGTTAATTAATTAGCTTAACTTTAATTAGTTAGCTAGTTTATTCATTCGAAATCTCCTGCGTGAGAGCACAATGTTATAATAATGTGTAGGTCTTCCAACCCCACGTCTTTCTCCCTTTTATTTACCTGCTTATGATGGTTAGATAAAGGAATCATGTTTTGTTTAGCATTCTCCATGTTTACATCCACTTGTATTGCATGCACCGAGGCTCGATTCATCATTCTAACTTGCATTGTTAGTTAAATACTTCTTTGAATACGTGCTTAAGCCACATGCTATCAAATTGATTCATATACCATATTAGCAGCTAAGCTTAGTAATTGCATATCGCATGCGTTGCATTAGTAGTATTGCAATAGTTAGGATCATGCATTATTTTCCTAACTCTTTTGTTTATTTTGACTTGGAGTACTAGGTGAGCCTTTACTCGCTTTGGCATATCGCATGAGTATGATTGTTGACATATCAAAGCATGTTCACCATGAGGCTAAGTGCTTAAGTGATAAACTGTTTGCATGCCTGTGACTGAAGGCTAGTTGCTTGAATTGGGATAGTTTGATTAATGTACATTTGAACCCACTTTTTCAAGTGGCACATTCACAAACTCTTTTAAAAAATAAACATGAAATCAAATGCTCCAATTCTTGCAAAAATTGGTCTATACTTGTGTAAGTCACATAGTAATATAACTAATAATCAGAATAAGAACATATAATGTAAATAAAAATCACATCATGATTAGTAGAGGCCGATCTTTGATCGGGCGAGGGGGGTGCTCAATTCATGACCTTCCCCTCTCATACCTAAGTTCCCGAGCCGAGACAACTTTGGTGATGACGGACTAATGGCCTTTGGCACGAGCCTTGGGTTTCCTAAATTTTCCAAAAATATTTAGGTGGCAACTCTAAAATCTGGCAAAGCAGTCCATTTTTGGCATTTTATTCAAAAAATCGATTTTCCAAAAAGAATTTTTGAATTTGGACTCTTTTTGTGTTTTCACTGTTTCACATTGCACTGTGAAATTAGATTCAGAACCACAGGTAGAGTCCAAACTATAGGGCTTATTCGTCTTCCGAAAGGGGGCACGAAAAGGCAAGCTACACTATCGTATTCAAAAGAAGCACGAAAAGTCAAGCTACAATTTCTGGTGACTCTGGTGGGGAATTTAGAGAACTTGACTCGAACTTCATGATGTGAAATTTTATCTACACTTATATGTTCTTTGCATTGCATTTCATTGGTATGCTTAAGTCATTATGTTTGCCATCTGCTATTCCTATCCGGTTTGCCGGAGGCTTGCCCAAAAAGCTTGTCAAAAGGCTAACCGGTCGTGGGCTCTGCCATGTTGGGAACACAACCCTTGGATCTGGATTACCGCTGTACCGCTTGATCCTCCTTTCACTTCTCGGTATTAGGTGTGAGAGGTATATTAGGTAGTCTTGCTGAGGTATCCCCTTTGACCATTTGGCCTAGCTGCATATAGTGAAGCCATATTGACTGTTCCAAACTAGGACAGGATGCTCGCCCGTATACAGGATTGCATGAAACCGCGTGATTGAAATAGTGAACCCTAGTTCATGAAAAAACTAGGACAAGAAAACCCTACCCCCTCATAGGGGTGTTTTGGCTCTTTTTTAACTGGTATGCACTTTACAGTGAAATTGTACAGGGGTGCTTCATATTAGTGGTACAGTTGGTATTAGTTTGTGGGGCAGAATGCAGTGGGGAGTACATTCATTTAGTTATGATCATATCTATTCTAGTGAAATTGGGCTGAGGTGTTGTATGTTTTCTCTTTTGCAAGGTAGTCCTAGAACCATAGCTTCAGAAGGCTCTGATATCCCCCAGGTACTCTGGACTCATGTCATTAGACTTTGTTAGGTCAGAAATTTAGTTCAGAGGTAGCCAATGTTTGCTTCGCTTTCACTAGTGGTAAGACGAAGGAGGGCTAGACAAGGTTCACCAGTTCCACTGCTCCAAACATTCACCAGTTAGATCACCTTTGTTCGGCTCATCCCGGGTATCTACTCCTATCATGGCTCAGCCTTCGATAAATCTAGAGGATTTACTAATCCGTCTTCAGCAAACAGTAAATTTGTTTCAACAGGATATGACCCAACAAACTGAGGTCAATAAAACGTTGCAACAAACAACTACAGTAGTCGGCTGCGGCTTCTGCTTCTCATGCACCTAACGTGGCTACTTCTATGCCAGGCACCGCTGCCAATACAGCTCAGGATCCATCGGGTGATCCTATTCCTCTAGTCCAGACAGATCCAGTCCCGGTTCAAACTTCTAAAGCTCCAGCTGAGGCACCTTGCTAGTTAGAGTTTGACCCGACCCTTCTTAAAATCAACAAACTTGAAAAACTATTCAAAAAAGCGCATGGAGTTAGCTCCATTCCGAGTACTGAGGATGGATATACTGAATCTGCCGTTACTTTGCCGAAGTGGTTCAAGATGCCGTATATTGACCGTTTCGATGGCTTTGGAGATCCAATGGTGCATTTACGTCTGTTTTCTGATATCCTGCGGCCAATGGGTTTTACCCAAGTTCAGAAGTTATCACTATTCGGTCGAACCATATCTGGAATAGCTGCCATCTAGTAAACGATATTGGAGGACTCTGTGAAACAGAGCTGGCAAGAGTTGGTTGAATCCCTCATTGCCCAATATTCTTACAACACACAGATTGAGGTCACAACTCGTGATCTTGAGGTAACGCATCAAGAGCTGAAAGAGGGTTTCTCTGAGTTTGTGACAAGATAGAGGGCTAAAGCCTCGATGATGACTACGAGACCTTCTGAGAAGGATCAGATAAGAATGGTTGTTCATGGCAAGTTGCTGCAGAAAATTATTATTCTACCTCTATTTACCTTTATAGAGCTTCATGAAATAGGGGTTCAAATTGAGGATGCCATCAGACAAGGGATCATTGTGGAAGATAATGAGCCTTTGAAGAAAAATGTTGTCTGCAGTTCCAATGCTACTACCAGTGGTAGCACAGTTGTGAATTGCTTAGAAGTAAGCACTGTCACCATGCCCATAAAAAACTCTTTTACTGATAATAGCCAAAACCCAACCACTTCAACTCGGCCCCAAGCTTGAAATTTCCATCCTCTTTACATGAGTCTCTCTCAAGCCTTGAAGACATTACTAGAAAAAGGGCACCTAGAGCTTCTAGAACCCCAACCCCTACCAAATCCTCTTCCACTAAGGCATGACCCCGCTAAATACTCTGTTTGTCATCAACAACACGGTCATGATACAAATCGTTGCATTCGCCTCCGTCATAAGATTCAAGATCTTATTGACGAAGAGATCATAGCTCCACCAAAAAGACCTCAGGCCACCACTAACCCATTACCTTCACACCTCAACCTAATCCATACACTACCATCCGCCTATAACCCCAGCATATACATCATCCCAGCCCATTTACCCAAGCCTGAGGTATTCATTCCAGAAAGTACAAATTTATGTATGATGCATGCACTTAAACTCCAATCATGTCAAACCCATGAATCCACTACTTTTGAGTTAATGAGCATGATTGAAGATTTGCAGAGAACTGTGGCAGATCTAGCCTTTGGGATCTTGGTTCCATCATCAACCATATCACATGCTAGGAATTTCACGTCAAAAGGCTCTCTGATCTTAGGATGAGCTGCAGTTGAAAAGGGCCAACCCGAAGCTATCTCAAGTCTGGGTAATGACATGTCAACAATGAATGGGCCTCGCTTTGATATACCCACCCAATCTCTTGGCAAATATGAGTTTTTGCGTCTATTTTTTTGCGACTGATTATTTAACTGTCGCAAAAAATCACTTTTTTCCATAACAATCCCGTTTTGCTTAACCCCCAATCATGTTCTTAACTGAACAAAAAAAAAAAAAACCCCAAAATCGTGTAAAACTTGCCCTATCCCTTTCACTCTTATTTCCCAACTCTCTCTCTCTCTCTCTCTCAAAACCTCACAAATCATACTGGTAATCTCACAAATTCTCCTCTCTCTCACTCGACTCTCCACTCTCTCTCGCTCGACTCCCAGTTTGATGAAGATATAAATATTTTGATCGATTGTTGATGAAGATTTGAAGATTTCGATCTGCTGTTGATGAAGATTTAGATCGATTCATAATCGGTAAGCCTAATTTCTATGTATGAATCCAACTCTTTGTCTCTGTAATCCCTGTGTCTTTCTTTCAGCTCCCAAATTCTCTTCGACTCATAGCTTTGTTCGATTTCGAAGATCAACATCAACGGTAACAACATGAATTTTTTCCAATTCAATTTATTATTATCAATGCGGTGCAGATTCTGATTTCGAAACATCTTTTTGATTCGAAGATTCATTTTATTTTTTATTTTTATTTTTTTAGATTATTAAATCTTGATTTGCTTTGGCTTTAAAACTTGATCTGAGCATTTCTCTAGATTGTTTGCTAAATTTCATTTAGTTTTTGAACCTCTTGTTTGTATGCTAAGAAAATTTTAGGAACCAACCAAATTTCAAAATTTTAGTATTATGCTTTTATGTTTGTTTGGCTAGAAAATTGAAGCTCACCTCAATTAAGGTAATATATATATATATATATTTGTTTTCCTGTGTCTATGTTACATTTTCTTAGCGACCAAACTGAGCATAATTTGGTTAATCTTTGAATGATTTTTCTAGTTTATAATCTTGTTGTTCTGCTTTGAATTCTTTTTGGTTACATGTTTTAGTCGTAGTTGATTTCTATATTGCTCTGTTTAATTTTGATTTCAAGCTCTCTCTGCAGTTTTCAATTTCAATTTAGTTTGAGAAAGCTCAGGAGTAATTTAGATCTTAAATTAAATAATGAATTACTTGGTACTGATATCTTTCTCTCTCATTTTTGAATTTGAATTCGATTCATATAGCTAAATGCATAGAGTATTGAATATTTGAATGTGTGTATCTATTGTCTTGCAAACATCTTCGTGTTACAAATAATAGTCATAAATAGGGAGATATTGATGTTTATGGTTTGTTGAATTGAAATGTTTCGCTATGAAGTGATAGATTTGGAATTGGTATAAAAAACAACAGGTCAAAACTTGGGCCCCAGCGCAAGCTTGGATCAGGTGCAAGCTTGGATTTGAGGAACATATATTTTCTGTAGAGAAATCTTTTCTTATTGTTAGTTCTCTTGCATATCTGCATGTGTTTATTTTTCGTAAAGAATTTTTGCATGTGATATTTTTGTAGTTTTCTTGATACCACAGCTATTAAATTTAACTGAAGCTTGTTGAAGTCAATGCTCATACTTGGGCAGATTGATGTTCTGCTTTGGCTTCATTTCTGTGAATATTTTATCTCTGGAAAAATCGTGATAAGTGGACAGAAAGAATGATAGTGAGAATTTATGCTGACCTGCTTATTTAGAGACCTATTTTGCCTTAAAGAAACATACATTAGAATTCTTAAATTATATTGAATTCTTCTATCTTTATCGAATGATAAAATTGTGCCCCAGATTCCTCTTCTAGAATTCAAAATATAAAATGATCATTAGATCTTCATTGGTCTCAACCTTCCAAGTCCAAAACCAGAAGGTATTATAAGTTGACATTACTACTGCCATTATTGTTGCCACCATAATTACTGTTGTTGCTTCTTAGATGCCCATGTCACTGAAATAGGGCTTCTAGCCCTAGAAAGACCTTTGTCAAAGTGCACCCATATCAAATGCCCTTGAGTAGAGCTCATATTTTTGTTGTTATTTTCTTCCTTGAAATAATCCAAACTCTGTAACTCAACTGCTGGTTCGTATATTTGAATATTAGTCTTTGCGGTTTAACTCTTACTTTGACTCCTTCAGGTTCCACTACTTCGACCGAGTAAATGGAATTAGGACTCCCTACATTTGTCAATTGCCTTTTGATCACCTTACTCATCTTCCTGGATGTGAACATCACTGAAATCGAGGGATAATTGATGCTAAAACCCCTGTTCTCCAGCAAAGTCTCATGGCAACTCACATTCCTGTGAGTAATTGTGAAAATTTCTAATTTTTTGTATCCCATGGTGCACAGATGAGTGAAATACTCATCTGGCCTGATATCATATACCAGTCCTGGATTGATGGCTCTCTTGGGGTTTACATGTCCAGCTCCAGTCGCGAAAACTCTTGTAGGTTTGTCTCCATCCATTATTGACCTTCCTGAATGGTCTGTGATTTTCGCTGTTGTCATGATTGCAGATTTAATAGCTGCTGGGGTCTATGTTGGATGAGCTAAGTGAATCAGAGCAGCAATTCCACCGACATGTGGCCAAGCCATGGAAGTCCCTGACATGACAGTGAAGTTCACTCTTCTAGAATCTTATGGAAGAGCGCTAGGGCCCAAGTTTTGAGGCCAGGCAACGATGATGTTCACTTTAGGAGCAAGATTGGATTTGAGGAACATATATCTCGATGGTGAGTTTTTTGTACATCTCTTATTTCATATAGGAATGATGTTCACTCCAGAATCCCTATATTTAACATTTTAAACTGATTTTTGGTATCTGAAATCCATACCCACTAAAAAAAATTATCATTTCATGAAGAGAAATTGGCTTCATAATTAAATTGGGCAAATAAATAAATAAATAAATACAAATAAGAAAAGATGAATTTGATGACTTGGGAGTGAACATAGCAAAAATTCGTGTTGTTAGTGGGTGACTCCATTGAAGGAGGTGTTGAAGGCTTTTTTTGTGAGTGGATTTTGAAATTGACTCAAAGCTAGTGCACCTCTTTATTCGTTTCAACTAACTTTAATATGTAGAAAGCACTTTGATTTCTTCATCTCTGAATCTGTTCTCACTGTTTCGTCAGAACTTGGTCGTTGATTTTCCCATCTTATGTGAGTTCACAGTCAATAAATGTGTAGTGGATTTATTCTGTCTTCTCTTACGTTGAGTTCCCACAAGGATAATGCAGTTGCAGATAACAATACTGATCATGTGGCTTGGTAGGTTGTTAAAACAGCATCAGATATGTTTTTGCTTGTCCCTGACATCTTGGTGTATATTTATGAAGGTCTTTAAGATGACTGCTAATGTGATACTCAATATTGCTGGAGCTGATTGGAGTTAAATTTATCTGATGTAGGACACAATAACTGGATTTTTGCTGGCTGGAGTAAGCAATGTGGATTTGCAGAGAAAGACAAATTACCTAATTGTGGACTCAACTATGCTTTTGAGCTCCAAATGTTGTGAAATTTTATTGTTTTAGGCATATGATGAATTGAAAAGCTATCTCCAATAAATGACTGGATGGTCAACATACTTTAATTTTATGATAAAATCATTAAAGCCTACTAGTTACTCTTGTCATTTATGCTGTAGATTTTGTTTCTCTGTAACAGAATAAGTAGCTAAGGAGATTCAAAATTTTCTTTAAAATTGTTAAGAGAGAGAGAGAGAGAGAGAGAGAGAGAAAGAGAACTTGAAACTACATGGGTTTCAGATGTTGTTATACTGCTCCAAATTTTTGTTCTTGCCCTGTATCCTTAGTTATGGAATTAGAATCTGTCCTTTCTCCCGAGTTAATTTCAATTCAATTGAATTTTTGGATATTCTTATTTTGGCTTATAAATGTTCTTTTATTATGGCTTAGAAACAACTGTTAAGCAAATTGAAGAAGCATTCAAGGCGTTTACAACAAGAGAAGACGTTGCAATAGTGATGATCAGCCAATATGTAAGTTTTCGTTCTACTCTGTCATATTTTTGATTGATTTTAATGCTCTTATGTGGTATGACTTATGCATATGATTATAGTGCGTGCTTATACCCTATCAGATGTATCATGAGCACCCTAAGATGCTTCTTTTTTCTTTTTCTTCATTTAAATTCTATCATGTGAATGAGAAAAAATATTAAAAGTTTATGATGAATAAGTATGGGTCGTGTCACAGATTTAGCATGTTACATTAATGTTTTAGTCAATGGAAGTTTGGTGCTGAATTTACTAATGCTTCCTAAACTTCAAGTTAAACCTTTATTGCAACATTCATATAAATCACAAAGTTCCACAATTATTATAGTCTGGTAGTAAGAGACGAATGAGTACATTGATTTTGTGGTGGTGTGATTTTTCATTTGTCATTTGATTCTGTGGATAAAACATTGTCTAATGCAACAATGTTCATCTTCAGGTTGCAAACATGATAAAGTTTTTAGTAGATAGCTACAACAATCCAATTCCAACAATTTTGGATATTCCTTCCAAGGACCATCCTTACGATCCAACACATGATTCTGTTCTTTCAAGAGTAAAGTACTTCTTCTCTGATTTTCCCATTTTATGTGTTGTATGCTTGAATGTTTGTTCTTTCTTTATTTATTTCTAATTTGGATTTGCAGATTCTAACAGTTTGTGGGGTTACTCTCTCTGTCTCTCTATCTCCCCTTTAAAATTTTAATTTCAGTTCAACTTTTACTATTAGATCACCAATTTCAATATTTTAAGCTTACTAGTATTGGTAATGAGTTTTTGAAAGGTCTTAAAACATTTTTTTCCCTGGGTCAGTTTAGTGAAAAGGTAGATCTTTTGTGGAATTGATTAAGACTACACCATAATGGTAATGAGATAATTTAATCGCCTAGTACGCATCTTTTAACATTTTTGCTTTATTATCCATCTCACTAGCTGGTGGGGTAACTTGGTATTTTAGTAAAGAGTATATTCCCTTGCATTAATATGGAAATTTTAGGCGTCACATGACCATTAATTTTTTATTAATGTAACATTTTTCAGGTTTTTATTTTTTTGGTCAAATTGATGAAATGAAATATATGAAGCTTGACACTTCATCTGTCGATTTTGTGTTTCAGATGCTAGTTGATGATATTGGTGATATAACAATTACTAATGATGGTGCTATACTACTCAAGATGTTATATGTTGGCATCCTGCTGCAAAGGTGGAAGAATAAAGCATCCATTTGGCTGAGGTTCAAGACCGAGAAGTTGGAAATGGGACAACTTCTGTGGTTATTATATCAGTCAAGTGATCCAGCAGACAATGATGCATGGGAAGATAGTGACCGAGAAGCTTGACAATTTTTTTTTTTTCCTAGCCCAGTTGAACGGCTCTAAAGAACATTAAGAGTTTCAAGCACAAGAAATGACAGAAAAAAATTAGAAATTCACTTGGTTGAGTTTATTTTTTAGTTTCTTGTTGACAAAATTCACTTGGATTTAATTTGTTCAATGTAGTCAGATTTTTGGAAAGATCATAAATCATAACGATGCACTATTTATAAATGTCATTGAAAACTATTTGCGACGGTAATAAGATGGTCGCTAATACATTGTAGGTAATTTTTATTCTTTTTTTGCGACGGCAAAACATCAGTTGCTATAAGTAGGTTAGGCGGTCGCAAATAATTTGTGACTGCTGTTTTGCGGCCGCAAAAAGTATTTGCCACCCCCACATTCGCAACCCCCATTTGCCGTCGCATAGGCCGTCGCAAAAAGTCTTTTGCGACTGTATTTTTATTATTTGCGACGGTTTGTAACGGTCGCAAAAAGTACTTTTTTTAGTAGTGACACTACTAGAAAAAGGGCACCTAGAGCTTCTAGAACCCCAACCCCTACCAAATCCTCTTCCACTAAGGCATGACCCCGCTAAATACTCTGTTTGTCATCAACAACACGGTCATGATACAAATCGTTGCATTCACCTCCGTCATAAGATTCAGGATCTTCTTGACGAAGAGATCATAGCTCCACCAAAAAGACCTCAGGCCACCACTAACCCATTACCTTCACACCTCAACCTAATCCATACACTACCATCCACCTATAACCCCAGCATATACATCATCCCAGCCCATTTACCCAAGCCTGAGGTATTCATTCCAGAAAGTACAAATTTGTGTATGATGGATGCACTTAAACCCCAATCATCTCAAACCCATGAACCCACTACTTTTGAGTTAATGAGCATGATTGAAGATTTGCAGAGAACTGTGGCAGATCTAGCCTTTGGGAAAGTATTTGCCACCCCCACATTCGCAACCCCCATTTGCCGTCGCATAGGCCGTCGCAAAAAGTCTTTTGCGACTGTATTTTTATTATTTGCGACGGTTTGTAACGGTCGCAAAAAGTACTTTTTTTAGTAATGACACTACTAGAAAAAGGGCACCTAGAGCTTCTAGAACCCCAACCCCTACCAAATCCTCTTCCACTAAGGCATGACCCCGCTAAATACTCTATTTGTCATCAACAACACGGTCATGATACAAATCGTTGCATTCGCCTCCGTCATAAGATTCAGGATCTTCTTGACGAAGAGATCATAGCTCCATCAAAAAGACCTCAGGCCACCACTAACCCATTACCTTCACACCTCAACCTAATCCACACACTACCATCCACCTATAACCCCAGCATATACATCATCCCAGCCCATTTACCCAAGCCTGAGGTATTCATTCCAGAAAGTACAAATTTGTGTATGATGGATGCACTTAAACCCCAATCATCTCAAACCCATGAACCCACTACTTTTGAGTTAATGAGCATGATTGAAGATTTGCAGAGAACTGTGGCAAATCTAGCCTTTGGGATCTTGGTTCCATCATCAACCATATCACATGCTAGGAATTTCATGTCAAAAGGCTCTCTAATCTTAGGATGAGCTGTAGTTGAAAAGGGCCAACCCGAAGCTATCTCAAGTCTGGGTAATGACATGTCAACAATGAATGGGCCTCACTTTGATATACCCACCCAATCTCTTGGCAAAGCTGAAACAAGTGACAAGAACAAGGTCAGGGCAAGCATTGATCCTTATGAACATCTTCAGTGGGCTATTGAGGCTTTGAAGGTCAAAGGGTCGAACAAGCAGTAAGTGCTTGCAGTTGTTGCAAAAACTGTGGATGATACTTTTGTCGCTCAGGTTAGAACCATTTTGAATCAAAGGGCAAGCCAGGGAAAGGGATGCCATACTAGAAACACCCCTTTCAACTCCAATCCTACACTTGTAAGGGAGCATCAAACTCAGTCAACACCTGCCAACCCCTCTGTCAATCCTGTCAGGATTGGCAACCGCACCTACAATCCCTTTTACATGACCTTGTCTAAAACTCTCCAAATCCTTATAGGACAAGGCTATCTCAAACCACTTGACCTTCGGCCTCTCTCTAATCCCCTTCCAGCCAAGTATAATGCTATCAAGTACTGTGTCTTCCATCAATAAACCAGCCATGACACTGACTGTTGTTTTCGTCTTCGCCATGAAATTCAAGATCTGATTGACAATAAGGTCATCACTCAACCAGGTCCTACAAAGTCTATCGGCGCTGCATCGATGAACTTGGGGGATAATGTGACTATGTGATCAAGGATGAACCACCTGCTGATGGCGCTCATTTTACTCCAGATGTGGTGGATGGCACGCACTTTTCAGCACTTTGAAAATGCTGTTTATTTTACTTTTGGACTTGAGAATTGAGTCAGTCTTGTTATATTAAGTTAGTCTTGTTATGTTAGAGTCAGGTGATTTCGAGCGTGTTAACTCAAACATCACATCACATCATTATTTTGTTTTGTTTACTTTTTGCACTCTTTCTTTTGCGTTTATTTCTATCATTGAGCCAATTGAGTCAGCAGATCTGAATGAAACGGTAGTAATTTTCACCTACTTCTCTGTGCCTTTAAATCATTACATTGACCAAAGTTTTTCAAAACTGTTTCCAAAATTGTGGTGAAAACAAAGAGGAAGGAATTCCTCGGGATTTGTAAAATTTGATCGACTGAGAGAAAGAGAGGCATGTTAAGCCCTTAATGAATGAGATCATGTTTGTTAATATGAGTATTGAGAAGGATCCTACCTCGGTCCAGATTGGTTCTGCATTGTCTTCAAAGGAGCACGAGCGACTAGTCGCTTTATTAAAAGATGTCAAAAACATTTGTGCGTGGTCCCATGAAGACATACCTCGAATTGATCTTGAGATTGAACAGCATAGGATCATTCTCGGCCTCGAGACTCAACCCCTTTGCTTTCAAACTTTGATTCAAAATGTTCAACGATCAACCAAAATTTGAGGCTCGCATGGCTGGATTGGAAGCAACCCCTGAACTAAGGGCAAGAAGGTCAGATATCATCAAAGGAAGCTTGCATAGCTGGATGAGAAGCAACTCTTGAACTAGGGGCAAAAAAGGTCAGATACACTCTAAGATTCAAAACTAGGTCATTTTTCGAACCATTGGAGGCTGGCAAAAAAGCCAAATCCCATAATTAGAGAGAAGAAAATTTTTGCTGAAGGACAATCGAGTTCCTATCCACGACACTAAGAGAAAGTTCAAACCCAATTGGATGGGCTTTTACATCATCAAGACTATCTAGTCAGGAACAACAGCCATTCTTGTGGATTCAAATGACTTAGAGATCCTACGGCCAATCAACATAGACAAGTTAAACTTTTCTATCCTTGATAGGCTAGCTGGGCCGAAAAACCAAAAGGGTGACCCAAACAAAAGTTAGAGAAAAAAAGAAAAGAAAAAGAACAAAAATGAAATGAAAAGAAAGAGAAAAGATGAAAGGAAAAATGAAACAAAAAGAAAAATAGAGCTCGCAAAGTTGAAAACCTAAAAGGGCGGCATTGGCAAAAGTTAAAGCATAAAAGGAAAGTGTTAATACCCAAGTGAACCTTAACCCAAGAACTATGTAAGGCATGATTCCTATCTTTGAGATACGTAAGCAACTTCATCTTGAAGTTCGGCCCCAACCATTTTCAACCTGCTTGTCTCATCTATGTTGGTTGGCTTATCCTTATTCAACTCGATTATCCTATCCATGTGCAAATTGGCTCATCTTCGTGCTCATCTTCATTCAAAATCGATTGTCCTATTCCGTTAGAAGATTCAATTGCAAGATAATTCAAGTTCAGATCTGAGGTTGCGCATCTCAAGAGTTAATTCCTTGTTAGTCGGGTAGTGACCATTTGCAAATAGTTTTGAGGTTTTTTTTTAGTAAAGCTGACTAATTTTCTCAAAAATTATTCCATTTTTTCCAAAACTGGACCATTTCTTGGGCCCAAAAAAAGGAAATTTTCAGTGCTCACAACTTGACTTACATGATTTCAAAGCAGAAAGTCGAACAAGCATGTTAATCTAACCCTCATGTTGGTCAAAAGTGTTTTAGCAGAAAGCCAAAAACGAAAAAAATGGTCAAAATGATGAACTAGGGGCACAGTTAAGTCAGATTTTCTGTCTTTTCCCCATTGTCAATGTACTCACCAGAAAGGGCACAACTGAAGCTAACAGCAGATGCCAAAAAACTCTCTCATCCTCCAAGCAGTGAGGTATCAAGCCGAAGCACAAACTAGAAATGGAGCAAGATATTTGCTCCCCTCATAAGGTCCACAACTTCCAGTTTATCCATCAACCACACCTGGGAAGGGATAAAAAAATATAAGAGATTAAAGAATAGAGAGATGTGCACTGAGAGAAAAAGTAAGGAAAAGGCTTTTCAGAAAAAATAAAGATTGAGTGCCAAAGTGATGTGAGAATCACAAATGAGAAAGGATGGAAAACAATACCTGGAGAAGCAGTGGGCTCCCCGTGAACTAAAAGGTCTCCCACCAGTGGCAAACATCCAAGTGTTGTGTTTCTTATTTTTGTTTGTCTCGATTCTTGTTTTGAGTCGTTTTGAGTGTAAATAGAC